TTTAAACATTTCGTTTCTCCCTCATTAGTGAACTTTTGAGTTTAGTTAGAATCTAAGGGTACAAAGGAAACCAAAAAAAAAAAAGAATCTAAGGGTACAAAAGAACTAGTTTAACTTGCTACTCTAGATTCTAAATGGAAAAACAAAAACAGTAGGCATATCTTAGTTCATATTCTTAAAAGTTAAAACTATGGGATTGTTTGGTTGGGGAAACTTTTCCCATTAAACTTTTTTAAACTTCATTTTTTACAAGATTATTTATATATTTTTACACATTAATACTATAACAAAAGAGTGTAAAAATAATATTTTTAGCATTTATTTACTCTGACACAAATTTTATTTGTAAACATTTTTCTCACACTTTTTGAAAAAAAAAAAAATTCAAACTTCTTCTACATAAATCCAATTTGATAACTTTTATACCACCTTTCTTTATATAAATTTCTTTTTAACCACATAAAAATTAACAATTCAACAAAATTTTATTACAAAACTTATTAACCTTCCCTACAATCCCTACGATACTTTTCTAGTAAAAACTTTTCTAATAAAATTAGCTTCGGCCCCTAACCAAACTAGCCCTTTATGTCTAAGGAACTATTTTATGTTCTAAAAGTCCATCCATGGTTCTTAGAAAAACCCAAGATGGCCAGCATACATTTACTTTCTATGTGCGTGCATGACTGTGGATTTCTATTCTACTGTTTCTCTGATCATCCGTTCTTTTAATTTGGTTGATCCATAAGGAAAAGAAATACCATAGAACAAGAAAGACAATGACAGCTCATAGAGTTACTGGACGTTGTTACTTTCTAAGATTCTATCTGCATTTCTTCTCATGAATTTAGGTTAGGTATCTTTTGACCTTGTAAACAATCCAATGCTAGTAATTAGCCCTTCATATGAAGCTAATAAACAAAACACTCCTAGACAATGACATCTCTTCCCTACAATGTCTGCTAAAATACAAGGGATTATGTGCCTGCAGGTGCGACACTACATTCAATAAAATAAAGGACAAGGACAGTCTTATCAGCAAATTAAGCTCAAAAGTCTTACTAATTTAGGACAAGATTGGATTTCGAGACATTAACTGTTTCTCAATCAGCATCACTCCCAAGGGGGAGCATGCCTCGTGACAACAAGGTAACAATGTGCATCCAAGAAGGAACTGCTACTTTAAGAGATAAAATATACAAAGAAAGTGATCTGTTGAGGCCAATAAGCTCTAGAGATCGTTACTAGATTAAGTGATATTTTCTGCAGATATTTAGTCTAAAGTTTAGACATAGTAAGTTAAAGCATTGGAAGATTTGCCTAATCTAGGATTCAAGTGGATAAATAAGAATTTGGAGGCATCAGGGTGGGTTGGTTCGTTGAACCACCACCTCTCAGGGGTCAAAGCAAGAAATGGAGCATGTGCTCTTTGGTATTGACTCCGGGTAGATGTACCGTAATGATCCAATACGCTTTCAACCCAATAAAAACTTCAGTCAAGTTAGAAGGCGAAGATGAGAAATGCATACCATGTTACACAACAAAAAGGTGCCTAATAGAGTCTATGTGACCCAAGTGATCACGTTTTTTTGTATAAAAAGCAAAGTGAAGCGCAACACATAATCATTAAGTCAATTCCTACTCGAATAGATACTAACTTACTAATTATGGTTTTTTCAATAAAAAAAAAAAAAGGAAAAACGTAACAGAGCAAACTTTGAGGAGATAAATTTCTGCATAATCAAAGTTGGAGTAAAATCTAGAGAAGGTACTTTTTCCACGTTGCACATAATCTTTATGTAAACGAATTAGAAAGACTTGAGTTCATAGTGGATTCTTACTCAAATCCAAGACGTTACCTCCAGTACTAAGGAATAACAATCTACAATCTGCTAGATAAATTCTTCTCTTGGATATTATTCCAATCCAATGTCCCATAAAATACATCCATCAAACATATAAAATTTAACAAACTCATATCTAATAAGCTTTCCAGAACTTACCTAATTTTTTTCTTTCTCAAATTTTCAAGTCCAATTCCATCCAACCATACATCACTAGCACCACACAGTCCCTACTAAAAAACCTATGCAGTTGCTGTCTGTAGAAAATTGATCTAACTGTTCAACCACAGAATGGCCCTTGTCGCTTAGATGTTTAGTTGTCAACTAGGTTTTTGTTTCCTCAATAGAGATATTCAGCAAAATCTCTGTGCAAATCATGGCTCTACTCGCTGTTCCAATCAAATAAAAGAGTTCTTATACTAAAAGGGAACGAAGTAACAGCACAACAGCATTGTCTTACATTCTTTGCACAAAATTTGTCATGCATACCAAGTAAATTGGAATTGAAATGACAGAGTTACAGAAATAGAAAAAGAAAAAAAAAAAAGGCTAGAATTTATAATTCCAAACCAAGTGCAAATACGTATCACTCCAAAACTAGAGGAAAATGATTTTCATTACCACAAATGTAAGAAATTATACTAGAATTTGAAAGTCTGAACAAGGTGAAACACATATAGATCTAAAAGCGGACACCAAGCTTTACAGGGAAAATAGGCTACTACTTTGAGACGGTTGCTTGAAGGGGAAGAGAAACTTCAACTCCATTATTAGCCTCAGCATGCTTTTCTGCAACAGCCTTTGACATTCCAAACATCTGAAAGTGAACCAAACAATTCAATCAGATACAAATACATCATGATTGGAGAATAAATCAACGAGCATAAAAGCAAAACAATTAAAGTATTAACCTTCTGGATGGTCTTCTTGAAGCAAGTCTTGTGTTCATCCATCGATGCATGAATGAACTCATCGATATGATCCTTCAAGTCCTCCAAGAATGTAGCCTGTTCATTCTTCTTCTTCCGGCATGAAGTCTCGGCAGGAGTTGGGGCAGTCGCAGGTGACTTTTGCTGACTTTTCTGTGCTTCCATTCCGGATATCTCCTGATATAAAGAACTTCATTACCAACATAATAAGGCTAATCACCACCAAGCTATAAACACACTTCCACTACAAAGCAGGCCAACAAAAACCCTTAACCCAGAACACAGCAAAACCCCAACACAAAAGAAGAACAGAAAAAAAAAAAAAAAAAAAAAAAAAACCACTGTCACTGAATACTATACAATTAACAACAACAATAAACAGTTCAACAACCAAGCTAAACAAAGCATTCCTGAAACCAAATCACTTCACCCTCAACATCGTACCTCACAATCTCCATCACGGATGAAAAAAATGAACAAATCAAACAGACGCACACCCACTGTTCGACAGAATGCCGAAACCAGGGGGAAAAAAAAAAGTACATCATACAAAGTTGTTTACAATTACCTCGAGTTATAACAAATTTTCTCGCATCAAAATTCTTTAACTTCACAAACAGGGAAAATTAACAAAGAAAAACATGAAATCGAAGAACACAAAACTGCTGTGATTTCAAGAGAAGGCTTACCTCGATCAAGCGAACAAAACAATGAACAGAAGAACAATTCAATAGATATTCAGAAATTTCTAAGGACACTGAAATCTGAAACTGTTGGTGGGCCGCCAGCGGGTTTATATAAAAAGCTTAGGGGTGGGTTTTAGAGTACGGGTGAGTCTAGTTGAGCTTGGATTTTTGGCGGTATGTTAAATTGCTTATTGGTCTGATGAGTAAAGAAAAAACAATCAAAAGGTCAGAGAGAAGACTTTTGACTTCTGAGAGCCAATCACGTTCGTTGATAGTATCGAATATCCTGGAGGTTGATACACCTGATCGTGATCATGTCTTGGGCACCAAGCTGCTCAAGAAACTGTCTTGGCGAGCAAGTTGGCAGGCGTGCATCAGAATTCTCCACCCCCACGCAAGATTCCCCCCAATTTAAGCCCAACACTAATTTTATAAGTGAAGCCCCAATATAATTGTTGGGCCTTTGCACACATGTTCTAGTCTTAATGCAATCATGTTTGTATCTAGTATGTACCAACCATAATGGCCCAATTGGATTCTGTTATTTTGTGTAGTAATTGTGACATATATGTGCTAGAATAAACAAATGATGCATTTAAAGCATTATGGGTGTGTATCAACTTTTTCTTTTCTTTTTTTAATGTTAAGGTGAAATTTGAATTCACACCTTCAAGTCTTAACATAAAAAGCCCATAGTAAGAGAATGTTGGTCACTAAACCATTAGGACATTCTTGTATACCAACTTCTTTGGTTAGTATTAGTTGATAAATTTTCGAAAAAGGAGTTTGCACTTTGTATAGAATCTCTTATATTAGATGCAATGAAGGAAAAGGGATCAATTATTGAACCAAACATGTGAGTGTAATCTTCAAGTGATGGATTTAAATCAATAGGAATGGAACTTGATACCGTATCATTTATTCCTTATGCATCAATACGAAGGCATATATGTTTTAACTTTTAAGTACGACTCGAAGAGGTTGATGAGCAAAGATAGAAATGGAGACCCATTCAAGAAAGAGAATCATGTTTTGTTGTCTAGGAAAAATCCCTAATATTAGAAGCATATTTTTTATTTAAAAATTTAACTCTTACAATATTTTTTTCATTTATGTAAATTATGATCTTCTGACTTCTCTCTCTTATTTTCTTTAATTCTCTTTATATTTTAGATTCTATTAAATAAAGGTGATTCACACAAAATATGTTTTCTAATAACAGTTAGATTGTACTAAACAAAAAAATAATGCTAAACTATACATTTTACTAATAAAAAAAGTCAACTATAATTATTCCTACTTTCGTTTGTACAATATTATTAAGAAAATATTATACCTGAAATCATTTCCCTGTATCAAATAACTTGTACTTCTTTTTTAGTTTAATCATTAAATTTCTTATTTTTCATATAAAAAAAGATATCCTAAAATTAGTCATAATCTTCCTTCTTCTTTTTCTTCTTCTTTTTTTCCTTCGTTGTTGGGTATTTGGAATAGAAAAATGATGTGTGCACACCTGAATTCAACATTCGGATGTGCACACTCCGCATAAAAAAAAATATAGAGAACACTTGATCTCTTTTCTCTTTTTTTTTTTATGTGAAGGGTGCACACCCGGGTGTTGAATCCGGGTGTGCACCAATCATGATTCTTTAGAATAACATCTGAAATTTTGAACTACTAGTACTCTAAAAAAATGTCTGATTGGCATTGGCATCCAGATGCATGTAATAATTTCATAAAAAGACATGGAATATTAATCAGAGACACAATAAAGATTTGTCCATTAGTATTTACAATTAGTATAGGTTAAAAATGTATTGATTGCAATTTTTTCATTAATTATTATAGAAAAAATAAAAATTGGCTTTAATTTTATGAATTATTTAATTAAAATCATATGTGTTATTTGTATTGAAAATAAATTTAGTTATTGTGTTTTTTATATAAATTAATGAGAAAATAATACATCAATTACACTTTTAACTTGTTAAATTGTACTTCTTAAGGTATATGTTAAATTAATTACATTCATAATTTAAATGAGATTATTGTCACACCCTTACTAATTAATATTACATATTTTTAGCTTAACGGACTATATACCCTATATTATATCTTTTCTCAAAATAATTACTTTTTTTATTTCTTAAACTAATTAAAAAAATAACGATCAAATAAAATGAAAGTACTGGTATTAATAATTAAGGGTTCCACCAATAATTTGTTAGTTTAAGTGAAAAAAAATAATTTTTAAATTAAAATTTTATAATAAAAAATATTAAATAAAAAATTTTTTTTTATAAAATCTAATTTAATTTAATTTTAAACTAATTAAAGGTCAAAGTCCACTTCCACACACCACTGAAATGTAATAACAAAATAATTGAGGGGTCTGGAATAACACCACCCAAGGTATTTATGGCAGTCGGCCAGTCTGTCAATGAGCAAAAGAATATCAAGCTGAAGTGGAGGTGGGGTTTAATGATTGGTTAATCTGGTGTGCATCAGCCTGTCACTTTTGGCACCCCCTGTCCTACCATATTTCAAACAGGGGAAAAAACCAAATGTGAAAAATCACAACAAAATGATTAGCTTCATCAGGAGGATTCAGAAAATCTAGCTGGCAAAGTGGCAATTGCAAAAAAAAAAAAAAAAACTACAACTGGTAGTATTGTCCTTTTAAAAATTAAAGAAAATTATGCCGGCCTGGCGCCTGCTCTGGCCTGGCACCCTGGCTGCATAACACAATATATCTGGAATGGCAGAGCCAAGTATCAATTTCTTTTCTTTTCTTTTCTTTTTTTTTTTGACTAGGGAAAATTGGGGAAAGGAAGAAAAAAGGGCTGCTATTGCAGTGGTTAAAAATCTGGTAATTGTCAATAGTATAATACACACGAACCAACGCAGTCAAAGTTATGGATGTTGAGTGTCAAAATTTATTCAAGTGTAAGTTTGTTTTTTCATATATAAATATATGCTTCTCTCACCCCACCTAGCAATAGGGTGGTTGTTTTTTTTTTTATTAGCAATAGTGTGGTTGTATTATTGTTTTATAAATAGTTATCAATGGTTAGTTTTAATTGAATAGATTAAGTATATTAAATTATAAATAATAATAATTATTAGTAATTACATATTATTTATCACTTATTAATTTTATCTAAACTGCTAATTTAAATACCTTCTAAATCATCAGTAGGTATATATTAATATAAATTAAAAGTTAAAATTTACTTACATATACATAAGTTCATTTCTCCACCATTAATGGTTAAAACTTATTATAAATTTTTTACATGAAAAATATAATTATCTTTTTAAATAAATAAAGAAAAAAATGAATAGATCTTAATAATTAATAATGAAGAGATAAATGATAAAAATTTTATGCAAATAATGTGTGTATGAGAATCCTAACTCATAAATTAATGAATATTAAATTTTTTAAAATGTTTTTTCTTTTTGTATAAATTAGAAGATTTTAAATTTTTTAAATGATAAAGGATTTTTTCAAAAAGAAAATTTGAACTTGGACCAAAAACAGGTTTTATTTTATTTTTTTAATAAAAGGGATTTTACTTTCGCTCAAAACTAAATTCAACTTTGTAAGTTGAAATTAAATATCCTTAAATATCATTGCAGTAGAATTTTGGCTATTAAATTTATAAATTTGATAAATATTTTATAAAAATCCTATTTTATAACTTGAATTACACTGAATTATAAAACGTGAACCATTAAATAAAGAAATGGTTCTTAACATCAAAAGGCCCACTCCCATTTAATATTTAGTATAATGTAGTTTGGTGCAATCTCAACTATATTACATTTTTAATATTTTTAATTTTAAAAATATTTTAAATTATTTTACAGAAATTTATGATTAAATAATTTGCAAAGATAATATCTACGAAGCTACACTAGGCCAGTAAGCCCTTTATTTTCTACATTAAAAAATAACTCCTTTATTAATTTTTTATTTTCATGATCCATTGATTCCCTTTATTTTAAATTTTGGCAATCCGGTCTGAAATTTCTTCAATTGAATGTAGTATGATGTATTTGACTTTTGACAGTCAAAATCAAAATGGGAAAGCAGAACATGATGAATGATGGCTCGATTAAAAAAAAAAAAGAAAAAAAGAAAAAAAGAAAAAAAAGAACATGATGAATGATGATAGCAGTAAATGGTCCTCATGTTTCCAATAATTTTTGGCTGTATAAGTTGTGTAATTGTTGGCATGCTGAATCATGTACATAAGAGTTATGTTTTTATGCATTCTAACTGAATCAAATTTTTTTAATGTAATTTTTTTATTTAATCAAAATAGACTAATAGATTAATTGCATATTACTCTCTATATGAGATAAAATTTTTTTTAAAAAAAATCTTCAATTTTGACTTTATATTATTATTCTATAAAAATTAAATCGCTTAAATCACTACAAGATCAACAATTTCAATTTTGACATAAAGACACCTCGTTCCGTATCCAAAGATATCACCCAGAAGGGATTGCCAATTCTTTGTACATAAACTTCTATGATTGGCTTATGAAGTTTTGCCAGTCCATCCCCAGAAAAAAAAAAATTTCCCCGGTTTGTTGGGAAACTGAAAGACGGTCAAAATCAAAATGAGAAAGCAGGACATGGCGAATAATGATATTGTAAATGGCCCCATGTTTATTGAAAGCTGGAAAACTACACCTGAAAATAAAAGGCAGCAAAATCTCAATTCTCTACTTTCTTGATTCTTCCCAATCTCCCATTACACGTGAAGCCTGTAACAGCAATCAATGTTAACATCAACACCCTTCTCTTTTTATATTACACGAAAAAGTACTCCCACTCAAAGGTAAGATGACAAAAAAAGAAAAAGAAGAAGAGAAAAAGAAAAAGAAAAAGAAAAGAAAAAAAAGACTTAAGAGGCAGGTTACCACCATCTCCAAAACATGATTCTAACAAATTTTAACTTTCGATAATAGTGTAGAGTAGATCATTTTTAAAATTTTTTAAAGAAAATTTGTTTATAAATATACATTTTAATTAATAGTATCAAAATTTGATTGTTAAATTTAAATTTTATTCATATAAATCAAATATAAGGATATAGCAGGACTTTTGGGTGGGGCAAAATCTTAAAATTTCTTATAATTATAATAAATTTGTATCAATATAATTCATATCAA